ATATATATATTTTATCTATATATCAGGCATGTTTAAGAAAAAAGGTACTTCTTTATTTTAGAGTCAGACATAATACATTTATATGGTACAAATTTTAACTTTCCAATTAATTTATTTAAATTCATTACTACTGCAGAACTATGTGCAACAAACAAAGACAGAAGTTACTGTAGGTCCTGAGTTCAATCCCCAGTACTACAAAAAAAAAAAAAAGAAAAAAAAGATATACTGCTATGCTGTCCACACTGGCCTTAAACTCCTAGGCTCATACATTCCCCCTATATCATATCTAGCTCACCCTATCTTTTTTAAAGAAGCAAATCATGTTAAATAAGTCTATCAATAAAGAATTTAAAAGTGCAGAAAGTAGGATCACTTCAAAAGCATCAACATTTTCTTTAGAGAAGAAAACCTCATAAAACATGAAAGTCTGAAGGTTTATTTTTTATCAACAAGCTCTTGTTCTGCTCAGTAATGTATAAGCATGATGGTACTCCCTTATTAAATGTGTACTATTGATGTGAGGCATCTTTTAACAAAATTAAATGAGTTTCTTTCAAATTTTATTGAAGAAGCAATATGCCTTCAGCATATAAATACTATCTAGTGGAAATAAGATATTCCCATGTCAGCAATTATCCACAGAGCATTCATATTTTGCATTATAAAGCTGATCAGGGACTAATCCTTTGTGTTTCCAAGAAGAAACAGAATGCTAAAAATTTATTTTACCTGTGACAAATAAAGTCTAAAAGAATATCTTTAAAAAAACTATTTTAAAAAAAAGAACACTAAAACCAAAGTTTAAAATAGACATAATGAGAGCCAGGGATTTAGCTCAGTGGTGCTGCCTGCCTCGCAAGCATGAGGTCCTGAGTTCTATCCCCTGTACCAGAAAACAGAAAAAAAAAAAAAATGACATGAGTAATTTCTTAAATTTAAATGAGGTGAGATAAAGAACGTAAAGTTTATCATTTATACTCATTATTCATATGTAAATTATCTGTATCATCCATATCTGTACCAGAGTACATGTATTCATGGTTCAAAAATAATCTAAAATGTACCAATAAAAATATTTTTTTAAATGTTACTAACTTCAAGTCAAGCAATACAATCCATTAAATTTTCAAAAATTAATGTTGTTTAACATGAAGTTTCTATAAAACTTTCAACAACCTATTAACAGTAGTTAAAATTTCTAGCTATACTGTAGTCATTCTAATTCAAAAGCACTTGTTTTGTTGTTAACTTACCTTAGTTTTTTCTCTTGCTGTTGCCTAGCCTTGTTATAGGTTTACCAATAAGTTTTATCTAAATAGTACTACAATTACATAATGCCTTTCTGAAAGCAGTTATCAAATATTCAATCAATAGGAAAAATGTAATTTCCTGATTTCTGGTCTAATATAGGAATTGCTTACCTAGAAAATGAAGGATTTTAGGAATTTCCCCAAAACTGTACACAACAGTTCATGCATATATGTAGTTTTCTTAGGAAAAGCTGTATAGTTTTTAGCTCATTTTCAAAAGGCTCTACACCCCAAATACCATTAGTAATTAAGGGTTTAATCTTTGTAATTTGATAGGTTAGCCTTTTGCAAGTAGTACATTTCACTAGTATGGTTTGGGTGAGGGACCCAAATTCTTGCACTGCAAATTCAATCTTTACTGCAGTGTTGTTGGGAAGTGGAGCCTAGTGGGAGTTGCTTGGATTGTGAGGGTGGAACCCTCATGAATTGATTGTTATCAGACAGTTTGCAGGTTGTGCTGTATCTCTCCTGCATGTACTCACTTGTCCTTCTTCCTTTCTGCCATGAAATAACAGAATATGAAAGCCCTTAACAGACAACTTGAACTTCTCAGCCTCCAGAACTGGGGCGAAATAAATTTCTTTTCCTTATATATTACCAATCTAGAGTAGTCTGTTACAGCAATAAAAAATGAACACAGTAATTTTGATAAATTTTAAATAATTAGAACACTGTTGAAAGATACAAAGGAAGATTTAACTAGAAAGACATGCATACTATTAGGTAGAAAAAGTCAACACCAAAAATAAAAAAATCTTAATTCTCTAGAATGAGGAACTAAAAATGCTTATTTTTCCCTAAGTAAGACAAACCAATCCTAAAATTCATATGGAGGAGAAAAAACAAAAATAACTTTTGGGCTAGAGTACAACATGGGAGTGTCTAGCCCTACTAGCTATTACAATTTAGAAAGCTTTGATAATTAGTGTGATACTAGTGTACAAAGTCCAATGACCTGAATTCAAAAGTCTAGAAACCCATTCAGGACACATAAGAATTTGATAAAGTGGTATCTTTAGTGAGGAAAAGATGGTCTATTCAATAAATGGTGTTGAGACAACTCAATATTCATCTAGAAAAAACAAAAAAGTGTGATTTGAGAATGGGGGGGTGGTAAGAGATAAAAGAAACTATAGCCTGTAGACTAAAACAGACTTAAAAACTAGAACAATTGCAAATTATGAATTATATACAGATCCTGAATCCAACAAAAACAGTTAAAAATAAGACATTTAGGAGACAATTAGAAATTTATATAGAGACTGTACATTTTCTGTTAGGTATAAATAATATCAAAGAAGTTCATTTTTAAAAAAGAAATATCAGGGCTGCGGATTTAGCTCAGTGGTTCTGCTGCCTGTCTTGCAAGCGCAAGAACCCAAGTTCGATCCCCAGCACCAAAAACAAACAAACAAACAAACAAACAAAAAAAGAAAGATCCATTTTTCTTTCACACAGAACTAAAATATTTATACATAAAATATGGGAAAACATGGAAAGTACAGAAGTAGAGTATGGAAGTAGAAGTAGCTGTGGGACAGATGGTGGTTAGAGGAAAGAAATAAACCACAAAAATAAAAGTATTCCTGATGATGGAAACCTATTTGATTTCTTAGTTTATTAAATAGTAGATGCAAATAGTTTAGATATCAAGTTTGGGATAAGGTGGGATATACAACACTAACTCAAAATATTCAGCTTTAGAGTTTTTGAAAAAGTAATGAGCTTAGAAAATATGGAAAGTGCTTTTATAAGCTTAAGAACAGAAAAGTAGTTTTTAATTTATATTTAAAATACAAAAGTCACAAATGGAGGAAAAATTCTCAATGAAAAAAATGCAAAAAAGGAAAAATTTTGTTTTTGTTTTTTGAGACAGGGTCTCACTATTGAGATTGCCCTGGAACCCACTATGTAGCTCAGGCTGGTCTCGAACTCACATCGATTCTCCTGCCTCAGCCTCGCAAGTGTTGAGATTATAGGCGTGCACCACCATGCCCAGAGGAAAAATATTTTTAAATCATACAACAAGCAAATCTCTTACATATGGAGTTCCTATATATATTTATAAAAAAGAACTGCAATAGAAAAACAGATAAATTTAAGGATTTCACAGAAAAATTTAAACTTTTAAGAATATGTAGCAATATTCATCTCTAAAGACTGCAAATTAAAACTATAATAAGATAAGCATTTTGTCTATCCTGTTGGTACACAATTCCTTAATAAGCCAGATGTGGTGGCACATGCCTGTTATCTCAGCACTCAGGAGGCTGAGGCAGGAGGATTGCAGCAAAATCAAGGTCAGCCTTGGGTACATAGTGAGTTAAAGCCACCCTGAATTACATAGCAAGACCTGTCTCAAAAAACAAAAAGAAAAACAAAGCTCCAAAACAAGCAAAGAGGCGTGCTCCACTATTGCTGGTAAACAGGCACGAACAATTTGCAACAGCTAGAAAAGTATAAATATTCAGTCCTTGGATCTAGCAATTCCTCTTCTGAAAAATGCACCTAATAATATTCCTGTGAAAGTGGGACATTATGTACATATAAGATCATTTGATACAGTATTTTTATAATAGTGAAAGACCAGAATCAACTTATATGTCCTTTAATATGGCTTGGATTTAATGAGTTACAGTATATCCACACAAAGGGATCCTACGCAGGGCAGAGAAAGAATAAAGTAGGCAAATTATATTGTAATGTGTAAAAATAAGTGAAAAAATCAAGACAGAATGGCTTATGTGAAAAAAGGAGACAGAAATAACGGTATGTTCTTATTTGCTTATATATGCATAATGCCAATCTGAAAGAATAAAGAAATATAGGGAATAAAAAGACTTTTCCCTGCACACTATTTAATATATATATTTTAAAGCTTGAACCATGTGGCTAGATTATGTTTTTTAAAAACCTTTAAACACAAAAGCTATTAAAGGTTTTTATTTTTTGTTCTTAAATCTAAATTCCAATAACAAAAACACTGCAATTAAGTAAAAACAAGAAATAAATACAAAAAAAATTCCACTTCTTTACAAAAAATAAGTATTTTTAAGCATAGACTTGGTCTGAAAAATACCAAGAATGTTTTAATCTATAGATGCAAAAGATATACTCTTTAAAAACAGAGAAATCTCTTAGCTAGTTCAAATAAATCCATAGTTATTGAATTAAATGAGTAGCCAAGAGTTTTATAGTAATTTAGGTCAAAGTCAAAGGTAAGATTCCATCTTCATTCTCTCTAAAATGATTTCATGAACATAAACCATACAGCATGTGGGAAAAATTGTTAATTTTTCACTTACATTTTCATTTTTCAAGATGAGTTTCAAGATTGCTTCTCTTTGTTTTAGTGCCTAAAACCAGAATAACTTTCAGTTAGTACTTTTTTTTTATAATGAGGATTAACTTGGTTTCCTACTACTGCTTCTCTTCTAAGCTACCTATGACACCTATATGAAATAACAAAACTATAATAGAGGTCAAAGCAAGATCGTGATTTGAGACTAGAGTGATCAATCATCTGTGGTTGTCCTATTAAACGTGGTTTAACTCAAACTCATGATCCTCCCAACTCGACCTATTGCTCAGCTGAGTTTACAGGTATGCAACACCAACCCTGCCCCAAATTACAATTCTTAGTCTCTATCATCATTGCTTCACATAACAACTGGGAAATAATATGTCCTTAAAGTTAATTAAGTGAATGAATGAAATAACTAAGACTATGATCTTTCCAATACAGCTCTAAAATCTTCATTTTTTCAACTAAATTTATGAAATTCATTAATTTCTGTAAGATTTTTTTTACCAGTAAATGGAAGTTACAGCAACAATAAACCTTCAATTCCTCCACTTTGATACATAACTTTTACATTCAAAACTATTAGTGAATTTCTATTTAGTGTCTCATTTCCCAAAAGTGATGCCTCATATCAGAAACTATATTTAACTTTTACAAACAATCTTACATATACGTGTAAAGATTTTTTTAAAAATTATCATGGCTGATACCATCATTGTTCCTATAACCACTGGCAAACTGATTATGAGTATCAAACCAAATTACCTGAAAAATAAAACCAAACTGAGTTTCCTTAATTCCAGTGTGTTTAAAAGGAAGGTAAACTGCAGTTATGGGATCACAAATAAGTACTTTTTGTTATTAAGTATTTACTTTGGGAAAGTGTTTCAAGGTAAGATTAATAATACAATTTGATATTGTAATCAGATAAGAAAAAAATCCCACCATATCTGTGTGTAGTCAGTCATTAAAACAAGAATGAAAAAGAGGTACAAAATTCTAATTTCTATGTTAACTGCATACAAATTTATAAATTTGATAAAACCTGTTACAACTCATTGTGATAAAACACAATATATTAAGTTTACAACTTTAACAAAGACTACTTTCCATGGAGCACCCTGTGTTCTATACCTCTGTACATCAAAAAAATCTTTGTTTTCTTTAAAAAAATAATCTTTGTTTATATATAAGGTGCCTTTCTAGTACTTGATGCATGCTGAACATCATTAAACTTTGTCTATTAGAGTATAAAAACATTAGATCATCTTGGGTTTATTAAGGCTTCAGATAAAATGAGATAAACTAACTTTATCTTCAAAATATCCTAATAACTTGCTTACAAATATTTTAAATTCTTGTGTAAAGCATACCAAGTTCATCTAACCTATGCAGCAGTCTGCCTTTCTCACCTTTATCTCCAACTATCTTCCTTGATGGCCTCACTGAACTACCCCAGAAATTCATCCATTAAAATGTACCTCCTGGGCCAGGGATTCAACTCAGTGGTGCTGCCTCCTGCCTCACAAACACAAGGACCTGAGTTTGATCCCCAGTACCAAAAATAAATAACTACATAATTTTTTAAAACGTGCCTCCATGCTGTATTCCCTTTGTTCACTCTGTCAGGAACGCTTCTCCTCATCTCATCTGCCTGTCAAGTTCCTACTATCATTCCAAGCCCAAGCAGACTGTATGGATCCCACAGACAGAATTAGTAATTTTATCAATATCTCAGACTCTCCATTCTTTAAACATACCTTCGTAAAGCGCATTTTACACTATTTGTTTACTTTCCTGCAACAGAATTGGAAGACAAGAGCAATGTTCTACTCATTTGAGCATAGCAAGTACACAGCACATACTAATGCTCAATAAGTATTAATTAGGCTAAATAAAACTTATAAGCTATACTAAGAAATCTCATTGATTTATCAGGCAATTTTCAAATACAATGATTAAGTATGAGTATCCTCAGAGAAACCAGAGGCCATAGCTTTAGCAAAGAGTTCATCATGTAATGTTATAGAGGCTACAACCATTAACTTTAGGAGACCCTGTTTAGTGCCACAGCTGATCTAAGTTACAAAATATTATGGGATAAATGATCAGAGGAAGTTTTAGTTTGTCATTGTTTTCAAAAGTCTGAAAACAATGACAAACTAAAACTTCCTCTGATTGGCTATAAAAGTAACATGTTGATTGTATGCCCCAATTCCTTCCCTGTTTATCATAATAAGCTCCATGAAAGAAAATATTAATTTCTTAAAAATCATAGATAGTGATTGGTAAAAGGGCAAATATTAAATTGTCAATAATACAATCAAAACCACCTACAGGCTGGTTGATATGGAATCTTGTAGGCATTCTTCTCATTATAGCAGAGTCAAGGTCCTGAGGACGATTAGTAGCTCCCATCACTATGACCTAAACATAGAAAGACACCACACCAGGTATTAGCTTTACCAGTAACACTCTGAGGTCACTAGTACTGGGATTCAGGAGATAAAGAAAATTAGAAGACTTTAAAACTAAGTCTTTTATGAGAAATTTGATTTTATTCTAGTATCACTCGAATAATTGTACATAAAGCTGAAGTTAATCCTCAATAAATAAAATAATATCAATCTGGACAGACCAATGCATTTCACTCCATTTCTAGTAACTAAAATACGTACCATTCAGTTATAAATACAGTGTGTTTATATATATAAAATGTCCATGCATACAGTATTTTATTTATAAACACACACACACACACACACACACACACACACACACACACACACAATTTTCTCCAGATTTCACTTCATTTCATTTCACTATCCAGCAATCCAACTTTAAACAAAGGCAACAAAGTAAAAGTAAACATCAAAATGCTTGTAGGGAGCCGGTAGTTACGCATTTGCCTAGCATATTTCAGGCCTTAAATAAAAAACAAATATATTTCTGAAGGACCAATGCTTCAGTATAACTCAATAACTGCACATGTAGGCTACTGAAAATGAAATTCATCAGTATTATTGGAAATAAGTTGGAAACTGGAAACATTTCTCTAATATTATTTTGACCTTAAGTTTTAAATATATGAAATATTAACTCCAAAGCAAGTTAAATATCCACCAACTCTTACTCTACTTCTATTCTTTATATTTAGTGATATTTAATAGTAGTAGCACCAAACTACTCAACTGACCACCCAGAGCAAAAATAAATATAAACCTGAGAAATGTTAATTCCACAAAAATATGCAATTCTATATTTGAGTTATGGTCCTAGAATAAAAATATTAATGCTTATAACCAAGGGGTATAATGCTCATACTATTCTTTTTACTGACTTCCTACAACTTAATTAAATTTTTAAAATTTCTACCAAATGTAAAACAAGCCAGCTAGCAAGGATTAAATGGATGAACTTCACGAGACAAAGAATAAGTGCAAGTATTTGGCAGGGCTGTGGGGAGAAAGCAACCCTTCTTCATTGTTGGTGGTATGTAGACTGGTGCAACCACCATGGAAATCAGTATGGAGATACCTGAAACAACTAGGACTAGAGGTTCCATTTGACCCAGCTATTCCTCCCTGGGTATCTTCCCAAAAGAATTTTAAAAATCATACCACAGTGATATATGTTCACCCATGTTTATAGCGGCACAGTTTGTAACAGCTAAAACTTGGGAACAGCTCAACTGCCCATCAACTAGAGACTGGATAAAGAAGATGTGGTTTTTTTTTATAAAAAGAGTATTACTCAGCCATAAAGAATAAGAAACTAGAGATATTTATAGCTAGGTGGATGCACATTGAGGCCATACTGTTATGTGAAATTAATAGGACACACATGTAAATACTAATAGTTTCTCTGGAGTAAAAAATCTAAAAGTGTAAATAAGGATCCAAATGTATAATTGATATTGTGTAATAGGAAGAAAATGTCTAAAGGAGTAGGTAAAGTGGGAGAGGGAGGGGAAAAGTAAGGGAAAAGAAAAAATGTGAGAAAAGGAAAAACATGGAAATAAAGTCTTTGTAAATAGACAGGGTGGAGCAGGTGAAGATAGGCAGGAGAATGGGGAAAAAATAAGAACCAAGATACATTATATAAAGGTACAAGATCCCAATGATGAATGTAACTGTATTATAGACCTAAATTGTACCAATAAACTTAATGGAAAAAAAAGAATGAGTATAAGTAAGAATATTTTGCTATATTGTTAAAAGAGAAATTTAAAGTGATACGGAAGCTTGTAAAAGACTGGCCATATTCAGTTGTAGAGATCAAAAAAGGCACTGTAGGTGAAACAGATTTTGAAAAAAGCTGAAGAATAGATTATATTTTGAAAAACATTCTAGATTTTTTTTTTAAAAAAGCCTAAAACAGGGCCAGGGATTTAGCTCAGCGGTTCCGCTGCCTGCCTCACAAAAGCAAGGACCCAAGTTCAATCCCCAGTACAAAAAAAAAGAAAGCCTAAAACAAAATTTAAAAACCCAGTATGGAAGATGAATGATAGAAAATAAAAATCAAAGAATTCAAATAAGCCTAACCTGGTCTAATGAATACATACATACAGGGTAATAAAAAGTATTCATGATGATAAAGCAAGAGTGATTCAAATTACTCATAGTTTTAGTTAAGTAAATGTTAAGGAATGATTTTAAGGAGAAAAATATAATCTTCACACATATATTTTATTAGCACTATGAGTTCTACTTAGTATACATATATTAATTCTATTTAGCACATTAGTATAATTGAGCTAAAATTCAAAATGGTAAATAACATTAATTCCTTAGTAAACTACAAAAATCAATGCATCATCTAGATAATAGTTGTTAAAAGTTTTTTAAAATCCTTAAAAAAAACATGAAGATAAATTTTATCATTCATGAATGCTTGTAATCCTACCTACTTGGAAGGCTGAGGCAGGAGGATCACAATTTTGAGAGCAACCTAGGCACTTTAGCAAGATCCTGCCTCAAAAAAAAAAAAAAAAAAAAAAAAAAAAGCGATGGGGATTAACTCACTGGCAGACTGCTTGCCTAACATCTGCCAATCCCTGGGCTCACTTTCCAAAATTCTATCATTTTCCATTTAAAGTAATCAGATATAAATGTATGGCTTAAAAGCTTCTTCAATAAGTACCCTAAAAACATTGTTACTTTTTAGGTCTCCAGTTTCAAGGTGAAGAATGTGTTAGTTATTAGTTACTAAGTTTTTTGGTTATGGTGAATGGTGATGGTTTCATTGGATCATCTGCTGTGTGAATATAATCACAAGGAAAGGTAGCTAGTGTTCATCTATAGTCACAGAAAAGATAATGTTACTTCTTGGGAAGCAGAGGCAGGAAGACTGAAAGCTCACAGACAGCCTGGGCCATTTATTCAGACCCTGTCACACTGAAGATAGGGGGAATAGGAGAACTGAGGCTACAGCTCAACACACCCTGTGTTCAATTCTCAGCACTGAAAAAAAAAGTAATTTTAGAGAACAGCTAACTGGTTCCAATGTAAGTGCTTTAAATACTATTGCTCAGGAAGATAGTTTTTGGCAACCTGCAAATTCCCAACTGATAAAGCCCATAGATTTACCAATTTATCAGAACCAACTATTAATAGAAAAATGTTTCTGTTAATGCCACCTAAATTTACATTATGCTTTCTTCTCTAAACATTCAATAAAGCTAAAGGCTCTCTCCCTCACAACAAAACTATACTTTCATGCAGGAGGAGGTCATGTGGCTTACTTTTCTTCTTGAGAATAATATGGTTCAGACTTTTGATTTATTATAATATAACCCTTAACACTGTTTACAATAAAACATGCAAAAATAATGAAGTATTAAAATATCAAATAAATTAACGTACAAGTCCAAAAATGAAGAAATTAGGGGGAGACCAGCAATAAAGCCTATACATAGGAAAGCAAGCATGGACAGAAGTTGACTACCTATCATACAGGCATGCACAGATTCTTGAAAGTAGGGTATGTTCTAAATACCTTAGAGGTCATCAAGGAGCCTCATGAGCAGCATTCTATATAAAGCAAGGGCTCATGGAGTACTGTACACTGGGAAGTGGTGAAATGTTAGCAAACCCATTCAGCAGAGGCAGCCCTTGAAGGGTGGGGATCGTGACCACATAAAACTCTTAAGATTTAGTATCTATAGTCAGCCAACACAGATGGATCTTGGACCTGAATTTACCTATTTGTGTTGGAAAAAAATAATCTGGCAGAAGGTAAATACAAAATTTCCTCAGCACAACAAACCTTCAAAACAAAATGCAAAGAATTCATAAAGTTCTACCAAATGTGACTTTTCCTCTAAATCGTAAAACTATAAACTCAAACAACAAATGACAGAATATGAAAAGTCATATCAGAATTATTGAATATAGACTATAAAATTAGTATGTTAGCATATTTAAAGGAATAAATAAGGAATTTCAAAACACACAAACACACACACAGCAAACCATTATGGACTAAACATATGCTGGGCACCTTTATAAACACTTCACTTAGACTAATTCTTTCGAGTTATTCTGAAGTAGATAATAGTCTCCTTTTTTACGATATTAGTTCTTCTACACAGATACACAATAATCACAAAATGTGGCCGAGGTCAACACAGCTAATTAATGTCAGGACTCTGGTTTTCTAATCCAATTGCAAACATAAGTAACCAACAAATATCTGTCAAAATAGACCTGGTAGCCTTCAAAAACCATCTAAAAGAATTGTTAGAACTGAAAAATTACAAATGAAGTAGTTCAATACTGCCATTTATACAGAAGAGTGCCAAGGAACAAAAACTATGAAAGAAAAGTTAAAAGACACAGAATATAAATAAGTTCCTACAAATACCTAAACGATATAAAACGTGGGAAATGAAACACAATAACTACATAAAAATGCCTGAATTGTTAAACTATGATGAAAGGGGTGGGGGTGGAGCATGTGCATGGCCCTGGGATTCCATCCCAGCACTGAAAAAACAAAAACTGGCAAAGAAAGACGTGATTCTTGACATGTTATCTTTACAGAGCAAAAAAACATTTCAAAATAATAAATATTTCCTAAGGTTAAAACAAGACAACATTAACTTGTGCATGTGATTAATGAAAAAAATGGAAAAGTAGTTTAGGGCCTGTATTTCCAACAATATGGAAAAAAACATGCCAAATCAATATTAAACCTTCTTTCAAAATACATCAATTAGCTGGTAACAAAGTATGGAATATTTGGAGGTTCAGTCAGTGAAAGTGAGAAGCCAAAGAAGAAAACTGAAAAACAAAATTGGATTTCCCTCTGGGGACATCACAAGAGAATTTACATGTGGTTTTCACAACCTTGTAGGGGAAGAACCAAAACTAAAATAGAAGACTGTCTTGCATAAAAGTAAGACACATAACTAATGGACACAGTAAAATGAAAATAAGATGAGGGACATAAAGGTGAGAGTAAAGATAGTAAAGACATGCTAAAAGTCAAAGAAAAAGAAAATCAAAGAGAAGCAAATCACACACAAAACACCATAGAGACTAGTCACTTCCTCTCCCTTGTCACACTGGTTCTCAGAGGTAGGCCTGATTATGGTTTTCTCTTTCACTGTATCTGTGTCAGGCAATCTATTAGTGCTTTGTTAAACATGAAGCCCTCAGCCTGTTACCTTTGCTGCCTTGTGAGTGTCATGATGTTTCTGCTCTGCCAGGCCTGTTTGTTATCCCTGCCTTGAAGTTGGCTGATTATGGACTAAAACCTCTATGAACAGTAAGCCAAACCCCTTCCCCTCTTAAAAAAAAAATGAAGCTCTCAAAAAGGGATGATTTAGGGCCAGAGATTTAGCTCGGTGGTTCCACAGCCTATCTCACAAGTACAAGGTCCCAAGTTCGATCCCTGGTACCAAAAAAAAAAAAAAAAGGATGATTTATACCACTATATTTTTTTGGATGATAAATATGAAAACTATGAGAAAGAACTTCATTCAAAAGTGTAAGTAGCCCACTAAATTTTTTTTTTTTTTT